GAGCATCGTAGAGCCGCTCCCAAGCACGAGTGGCTCAAGATTGCCAGAGGCCTCCTCCCCAGAACGTTCTCTGTGGGGCTGGGCGTGAGCCCTCGAGGCAACAGAGCCTCCTCCTCCTCCTCCTCCTCCTCCCACATCTCTCCCGTCCCCCCCTGGCATTCTCCCTCCTCTCTCTCTCTCTCTCTCCCCTCCTCGTCACGTCCTTTGTCTCATGCTTTTCGGCGGGATCGGCATCAGCTGGGGGACCCGCTTCAGTCCAAATGGGCCGGTGTTTCGGCGCGCGACGCCACGAGGGCGATTTCTGCTGCACCCGCCAGCGTTGTTTGGCAGCCAGAGCTTCGGTATCCAGGTGCCAAGCCCCTGCTCACGAGGCGTTAGTAAACGGGCCGGCAGCTAAGGGTGCGTTCTCGATGGTGTTTTCAAAAAACTGATTTGCCGCACACATGTGCGTGGTAGATCCCACCGCCCAGAGTTATGACGATGTGTCGACGTTTTTGTCGACCCGATTTATCACGCGCTAGTGCAAGGTGAATGCCCTGTCACCCCGTTCTCGCTTGGAGAGGCCCCTTAGCTGCCGCCCCGTTTACTAACGCCCCGTTTGCCCACTGGTGATCCCCACTGCTCCTTCGTTCTCCCTGCCGACCTGTTTTGCAGCCCGGCAGCGCGCGCGTGGTAGAGCCAGCGCGGCCCGCACAAGCAGGGTGAGGCCTGGGGCACGGCCGGGGCCAGCCAGCAAAAGCCGGTCCGCCGCCGAGCGGGCGGCGGGCCCCGCCGGTGGGCCCGTGGACTGACGTACCGTTTGCAGGGGCTTGGGGGTACCTCACCAGGTAATCCACTGGTGATCCCCACTGCTCCTTCGTTCTCCCTGCCGAACGGCTTTGCAGCCCGGCAGCGCGCGCGTGGTAGAGGTAGAGCCAGCGCGGCCCGCACAAGCAGGGTGAGGTCTGGAGCACGGCCGGGGCCAGCCAGCAAAAGCCGGTCCGCCGCCGAGCGGGCGGCGGGCCCCGCCGGTGGGCCCGTGGACTGACCCAGAGGGTAAACCATGCACATTTTATGCGTTATTGATTTCCAATGAAAAAATGAATGATTTCATGCCGTGCTTTTTTTTTGCGCCGCTGCTTTTTTAAAAAATGAATGGGCACGCCGCAGAAAAATGCATGAACGCGCGGCAAAATTTTGCATGGTTGCACGCAGACGTTGGCAATGGAAATATGAACGACTTCCCGTGTCTAGCGCGCGACCCAACGCTGCGAGAAAACATCCATGGCCTCACTCGCCTGATCTCTCGCTTGGCACTCTCGTGGCGAAGGGGCGCGCGTGTTCATTTAAGCGTTGCTTTGCGGGTGCGTTGCTGGGGCTTTGCGGGAACTTTGTAGGGATTTTGTTGGGACTTTACAGGGACTTTGCGGGGACTTTGCAGGGACCTTGCAGGGACTTTGCAGGGACTTTGCAGGGACTTTGCAGGGACTTTGCAGGGACTTTGCGGGGACCTTGCAGGGACTTCGCGGGGACTTTGCAGGGGCTTTGCAGAGGCTTTGCAGGGACTTTGCGGGGACCTTGCAGGGACTTCGCAGGGACTTCGCAGGGACTTTGCAGGGACTTTGCAGGGACTTTGCGGGGACCTTGCAGGGACTTTGCGGGGACTTTGTGGGGACCTTGCGGGGACTTTGCGGGGACTTTTTTGAGCTTTGCAAAGACTTTGTGGGGACCTTGCAGGGACTTTGCGGAGACTTTGCAGGGGCTTTGCAGGGACTTTGCAGGGACTTTGCGGGGACCTTGCAGGGACTTTGCGGGGACTTTGCGGGGACTTTGCGGGGACTTTTTTGAGCTTTGCAGGGACGTTGCAGGGACTTTGCAGGGACCTTGCGGGGACGGACGTTGCGGGGACTTTGTGGGGACCTTGCGGGGACTTTGCGGGGAATTTGCAGGGGTTTTGCACGGACTTTGTAGGGACCTTGCATGGACTTTGCGGGGACTTTGTGGGGACCTTGCGGGGACGTTGCGGGGACTTTGCGGAGGTTTTGCAAGGTTTTTACAGGAACTTTGCAAGGTCTTTGCGGGGACTGTGCGAAAGCTGGGCCGACCTCCCCGGCATGCAAATGTGGATTCGCTGCGTTGCTGTTTCCGCAGGCGTTTTGGGGCAAGATGTCATCTCCCGCGGGGCAGCAGCCCGCGTCCGTCAAACGGAAACCGTCTGGTGTTGATTCCACTAATTACGATGCGATTGCCGAATGCATCACACAGCATATAATCACACCAAATACTATCAGGTATGGTGAGAAAGGCAGGGAGTCTGCTTTGAGAAAGGATGTTCTTCTTACGCACGTCAGCATGTTGAGAGACCTGGCTCTGATTTACAAGAAGGTCAAGGTTCCCAAAAAAGACTTGCAGGTGGCCCTGGAGAAGACCTGTGACGACAATTTCAAGGATGCGAAGTACTCAAAAGGGGGTGCACTCCGAGGAGAATGGGTCAGAACTACTGGTTTGCGTATTGCTACGATGATGCAGCACGCGACTTCAGCGTGGAGAGATGACCGCAAATGGTTTACCAAAGCGGTGGGCGTGCTGGATGATGCGTTGCTGGACCTCAAAAAGAAAACGATTGACGACGACGAGGAGAGCGAGCAGGACGACTTCGGCGAGGAAGAGGAGAACGGGGAGGAGGAGGAGAAGGTGCACGACGAGATAGTCGACCCAGGGCCCGAGGACCACTGGAACAAATACCTGCCCCACACCTTCTGCGCGCCCCGGGGGAAGAGAGGGCACTGCAGGTGTTTGCTTGGTTCGGGGACCGCCCGATCGATATGCAGGGAATCTCGCAGCCTTCGGAGGTGCTCGATTGGGCCTTCCTGGTGCCTGCATTCCCGAGGCCTTCGGAAGTTTTCGATTGGTTCTCCGCTCCTCTTCCAACTCATCCTTCCACCCACTCCTCATCTTCCTCCTCATCCCTCTCCTCTTTCTGTGGCCCTGTGCTGACCATCGTAGGCCCCCGCCCACCCGCAGGAGCCTCGCAGGAAACCAGCGGCGTCCAACCCTGCCGAGCTGTATGAGTTTGGCTACGAGCGGGAGCATCAACGTGCTTGGCGCAAGGCCAAGTCGGCGAACAAAACAGACCCCCGCGATTACGCCGAGAGCATGCACGCACCTGATGAGCAACCAACGTCCTACATGGTAGCGACATGGAACGACGGCATGACGAGACAATTGACAGAGGATGTAAAGGGACAAACCTCACCGTCACCTCCTTCAGATCTGCCTCCTGGTATCTCCCGCCTCCTCCTCTGCCTCCTCCTCTTCTCCCTCCTCATCCAGATCCTCGTCCTCCACCTCCTTGTGGGGGAGGGGCCATGCGTGGCCCTAGAGATCTGACAGGCCGCATCTAATAAGCCTTGCTGCCCCTGCCCATGCCCTGGGGGAGCCACGGATTCATGTTTCCCCGATCCCTCAGGTTACAGTGGGCGCGTGGACCCGCGGCCAACCTGCTCCAGCCATGAAGGGCCCTTCAAAGAAGGTCTCCAGATTCTTCAAGGATGAGGAGAAACAGATATGGACTTGCGCGAGATGGGACGCCCCGAAAGGGAAACCAAAACAACGGCTCATTTGTTTAAAAGACAGCACTGGGCATCTCTTTCACGTGGACGTCGTCTGGTTCCCAGAAGGATCAGAGGACACAGCTATCGATTTCATGAGCCAGGTCGCCCGAGACTACGCTTCTGGGAATTGCACCCGAGAGGAGGCCATAGAAAAGAAGATAACAGTTGCCCCAGTCAGGACCACAGTGAGTAAGAAGAGGCCTGCGGCCGTTGCTAGCCCCACCCCTGGTAATTCACAGGCAGCTGCAGCTGCTGACAGCGCCTCTGCTAGCGCTAGCGCCCCAGCTGTTTCTCTTATGAAGCGGCCTGCTGCAGCCGAGAAGGGGGCTGCTGCCCCCTCGCCCAAGAAGAGGGCTGCTGCTGCAGCCGAGTTTCACACCCCCTCGCCCAGGAAGAGGGCTCCTGCCGAGAAGCCCAGAATCGCTCCGCCGAGTGGCAGCATGTTTGATGACATTTGATTGGCCAAGCTTGGATCTCGAGCTCGTCGAAACCATCAAAAACACAATGAAAAGTAAAGGTGGTCCGATCTCCAGGTGCGAGCACGTAGGAAGGCAGCAACGCACCTAAACACAAACACCAACAGCAGCAACAACAATAGCAATGACAGTTCCAATGGCGATGACACCAAAGACACTAACGCAAGCAAGAGCAGCAGCAATAACATCCGAAACAACAAAACAATATCAATAATATGAGCCCCGTGCCTCGAAGAGGTCTCCTGGGTCCGCAACCTGACCTCCTGCCCCCCCCCCCCCCCTGTTTCATCCGAGCGAGGGCCCCGGGATTCCGACCCTGAGACTTCCGTAGTGCAGTTGGCTACAAGATCCACGGCTTATGTCTCTCGCCGACGGTATCGGCCGCATGGAACAGAACCAGGACGCCCTTCGGAAGAGGTCCGCATGCGCGGGCAGCCTCGGCTGGTCTGGGGCGTCTGGCGCAAGATCGGCTCCCCATGTCGTCAACTCCGACTCAGACGACGATATTCCACCCACCCAGGATGACCAAGGAACAAAAAAACCGTCACCCCAGAAGAGGATAGTAAAGAAGGGGAGGAGGAGAAGGAGGAGGATGAGGAGGAGGAGAAGGAGGATGAGGAGGAGGAGAAGGCGGAGGAGGAGAAGGAGGAGGAGGAGGAGAAAACGGGACCAGCTTTGTGCAAGTGATTTTTTTTCAGGGGGGAAGAAGGGGGATGGCCAAGGAAGGCCTTACGCAAGTGTTCCCCTCAAAGGGCGCAGGGTTCTCCCGCCAGCAGCTGCTCAAGATGGGCGTGCCCGAGAGGGCGCTGGAGGGCGAGGACCGTGCACCTCCACCATTACCCCTTATCCCACAGACCTTCTCCGTCTTACCTCCTCCCCTTCCGTTTTTTTTTCTCCTATACAGGAAGCGTTCTATTTCAGCGACGCGCAGATCAAGGAGTTGATGAAGGGCAGCGGCGCCAATGATGCGGACTCGGAGGCCGCGCGCTCACAGCGAGGAGGACGCCCTGCCCGCAGCATCCCCGATTGCCCTGACTCATCGGATGACGAGGGTGCCAGCCAGGCGCCGCGCATCGGGACGCAGCCCGATCGCCGTGCCGATCATGGGCAGCCCCCTGTCGAGCAGCAGGACGCCAGCCGCCGCGAGTTCGAGCCCGACGAGTCGCAGCCGCGTGACAGGTGCCCTGATTGGTCGGAGGAGAGCCTTGGCAGCGGGTTGTCGGCTTGCGTGGGCGTGGACGCAAAGGGATATCGCATGTTTGCCACAATTGAGACCGCTGGCTCGATGATGCCCGATGAGGTGGGCTACCTGACGATGTGGTACAGGCCGAAGGGGTGCTTCGTCAAGGTCATGCGCCCGCGCGCGTGGATGACCGTGGACCCCGACACCTCCCCTGCCGCAGCGGCGCCTGCCGCAGCGGGTGCCGCACTGGCGCCTCCTGCCGCTGCGGCGTCTGCAGCAGCGGCGCCTGCCGCAGCGGCGCCTGCCAGCCGCGCCCGTGGCGGCCCAGCACCGTGCGAGGAGATTATCTCTCAGGAGGCAGCGAGACTCGAGGAGGAGATTCAAGCAGTGAACATGGGGGGCGAGTCAGCCGACGCTGCGAGCTTGGAGAACATGCTTCTACAGATGATGGACCAGAAGATCAGCGGAGTCGACGAGGCCGACGACGATGACGACAAGGACGAGAGGGATGACAAGAAGGACACCGTTCTCAAGGTCGACTCAGTCTTGGAGGCTTGCAGAGGCGCGGGCTTCCAGTTCAAAGCCAAATCCCCGATGTACAAGAGGTACGAACGGTACCTTGAAGCAAACCCAGCTGAGTATGACAAATACAGCAAAGCCAACAGGAAGGATAAAGAAGTCATGCGCTCCCAGTGGGCTGAAGACGAGTACAATGATTACAGCAAGTGGCGGGCCAAGTCCAACAAGTACAGGAACACCGACCGCGTCCTCGGCAGGCTCATGAATTTGGACCAGCTTATTGTTGCAGAAGGGGGTCGCTGCAGCAAAACAGCAGTCCAAGGAGCTCTGGAGACGGCGAGATGGTGCATCAAGAGAGGCGCCCCATACATCAAGCTGAACAAGCGCAGCAAACGTATGATGTTCCGTCACATCACCGAGGAGAACGACGAGCAGAATACGACGGAGTGGAAGAGTGTCGAGGAGGAGAGGGGCCACAGGAGGGACAGAGCTGAGGCGGCTAATGCACTTGAGACGCCTGCCAAGCGCCCCAGGCTCGACGGCGCTTCGGCAGGCGCTGCAGCCAGCGGCGGCGAGCCCAAGGGGGAGTCCCCCGAGCCCGCGACTGAGCCGCCCGCCACCCCTACTGGCCAGCCCTCGGGGAAGGCGACTGGCAAGGGCAAGGGGAAGGAGGGCAAGGGAAAGGGCAAGGCGAAGGCGAAGGCGAAGTCGAGGGCGGCCCAGGGCAACTCCCCGAACAAGGATTTCGAGAAGGAGGCCAAGGTGATCCTCCAGGAGTACAGGACCTGCCTGTTCCAGGGGCGGGAGATCCTCCTCAAGATGGATCGCGAGGGCGAGAAGAAGGGCTGGGCCATGATGAAGCCGTTCTCTGACGGCCTCGATCTGGCCATCACCGCGGCCGCAGAGGCAGCTTCTGCTCCTCGCATCCTCCTCTTCCTTCTGACCCTCTTCCTCCTCCTCCTCCTCCTCCTCCTCCTCCTCCTCATCATCATCATCATCCTTTCCTCCTCCTCCTCCTCCTCCTCCTCCTCCTCCTCCTCCTCCTCCTCTTCCTCCTCTTGGAGCCCTCTGAGGGCCCCGGACGAGCCCCCCTGAGAGCACCCAGAGAGCCCCAAGTGACTGAGAAATTTGCTCAACCCCTTCGGTCCCTCTTCAAGGCGCCCCGGGGCACTCTTGGGCCCTCATGGGACCTTGAAGGCCCAAAGATGGCCATGGCAGTTTTGAACTACAAACCCTCCCATGCCACAGGCCGCAGGCAAGATCCCGCTGTTCGATCGCATCCTCACCGAGGGCTTCCAGGAGGTGAAAGGCCAGGTCAGCGAGCAGGAGTGGTCCCAGGGGATGAAGGATATCGCTGCGTTCAAGCCGACAGTCGCGGAGGTTTACAACGAGAGCCAACGTATGTTAGACCTGCGCAAGAAGGCCCTGCCCAAGAAATCGGCCTCGGGCGCTTGAGATTTTCCTTAAGAAGATACGCACCCCCATCGGATTTGATTTCCAGGGGCCCTGAAACAAAGCGCATCGGGGGGTGAGAACTCCATGGGATGTTTCTGCATATCAGAAGTGTTGATCGATGGGGGTGCTATCGACCTGTATCTCGATCTTTGCATGTGAAGACTTGGGGTGTAGTGTGCTGCATACGCTGGCCCGCTACCGTGGCGATATGCGAACTTAGCTACGAGAGAATTCAGAAGTGATCTCGTTTCTTGCTCTGTGTGCGAAAAACTCACCCAAGCCTGAGGCGAATGTTTGGATTCGGATATGCTGAAGATGTCCTTTTTCTCGAAAGATAACTTCGGCTGCCCCAAGATTGCACCCTGTTCTCTAGAAAACTACACGAGCAAATGCAAAACAAACCGCTGGGATTTGCCGGGGACTTTCCGGGTACTTACCGGGGACTTTCCGGGGACTTCGGCTCCAAACCCTGTGTTTTTACCGGGTGTGCGGGCGGGGACTTTGCGGGGACTTTGCGGGGACTTTGCGGGGACTTTGCGGGGACTTTGAGGGAGAGCAATTTTTAAGATCGGAGAGCTTCGGAATCAGGGCCCCACGCGCTCTCGCCAGGCGCTTGCGGGCGCGTGGAGCCGCTTGAGCGACCTGCGAAGGCGCGGGGGGGCCCGACTCCAAGCTGATTTGGTCGACCCTCGAAGGACTCCAGCCCTCTTCCATGCCCGTCCCTCCTCCTCGATCTCGCCTTGTTTCGCCCCCTGGGGTTGAATGGCCACGGGCGTGCAGCAGCCGTCAGCCAAGGCGAGGCCAAGCCGCTTTCGCTTGGAGCTCGCAGCAGCGATCCCGACTTGCCCCCGTCGCACAATGATCTCATCTCTCTGATTGCAGGTGCGAGCAAGGCGTGGGGGCATTTAACGAATCGAGTCGACTTGATATTGCCATGTGAATTCAAGGCCATCTTGACGGCCTGTGGGTAGAATGATGACAAATAGGATGAGGGGAAAGAGAAGGAGGAATAAGAGGACAAATGCGAGCCGTCTTGAGGCCCTCTGGAGCCGTCTTGGGGGAGCCCCTAGAGGAGCCCCAAGAGGGTTACAAAAAATACCCCCCGCAGGAGTCCACGGGGGTGCTTTCTGGGAGTTATTTTTGCCCCTCCCCAACCCAGAGGGCCCCAGCAGATCCCAAGGAGATGCCGAGGAGGACCCAAAAAGATCCCAAGAGGTATCCAATTGGCGCTCTGTGAAACTTTGTGAGACGGAGCTTGAAATCAAACCTGCTTGCGCCGTCTTGAGGCAATCTTGGAGACGGCCCGTGGCGGGCCCCTACGCCACGAGAGGTCAAAAGGGTTCCAGGAGGGTCACAAATGATCCTATGGGTACCTCCAGAAATCATCCGTGAGACCCTGGTCAAACTCCTTTCCCCCGCACTTCCCTGCCCATCCCCTCCATTCTCGATTGCCTCCTCCTCCCCCGCAGCTTTTTTTTTGCAAGAGACCAGACACTCACTTGACACGCCCGAATGGCACCTAAGAAGCGAGCCCGCAGCCCTACCCCCATAAGGGAATTTCCAGATGATGGCGACCCCGACGACCAACCTGACCCCGAGAGAGAAATGGCAGCATCAGAATTGGAGAACCATTTGATGCAGCTGTATGCGCGAAGCGTCATTGACGCGAAAACGTTATGCATCACGGCATATTGGGCCAGCAAGGCTGGTGCAGAGGGAGATAAGTTATCCCTCATGGGCAAGGCTCCAGGCTTCAGTTCTGGGAACTACGAGAAACATTTGGATAAAGTCTTGCCCGCATCTTCGGTAGAATTGTGCACTGTTACCCTTCCCCTTCGATATGGTGGCGTCAGAGTACCGCGTGGAGTTTTAGTGGCGCCACCGCGTGAGCTCATGGCATCTGAGTACGAAGCGGAGTTGGAACCGTTTGGGGATGTACATGATTCAGCGTGGTCTAGCACATTCGAGGAGCATCCACATCGCCACGTAGAGGGCGACCACAGGGATGTGATTCCGATTGCCCTTTACGTGGGCGGCATTCGGTTTACGAGGACTGTTCTCGCTGGGCATCAGGATTCCGTCATTGGGTTCTTCTGCTATTCTCTCAAAAGCAACCGCCGCCACTTGCTTGCAGAAGTTTCAAAAAAGGAAATGTGCAAGTGTGGTTGCCGCGGACACTGCACCATGTACCCTCTCTTCTTGTTTTTTCAACACTCATTCTCTCTAGCCGCAGTTGGCCGTCGGTCTGAGCGCCAGTTTAACGACACCCCATGGGGAGACAACAGCAAGTATAGTGAATTATTCGCACGGTCGGCGGCTCTGCCCGCCAGATTTCTCTTGACCCAGATCAAGGGGGATTGGTCCGAGTTCTGCACTACATTTGGCTTCAGCACATGGCAGTCGCATACCCGACCGTGCCTCTTCTGTTTGAGGGATAAAGAGAACCTTTGCAACTTCGGCGACGTCGACATTGATAACGACGCGTGGGCATGGCGCCGTCGGAGTAATTATGAAGCAGACTGCGCCAGATGCGAAATGCGAGTGCGCATTGACTCCCAAGAATGTGTGGATCTCATTACAATCAAAGGTGGGCTACGCTTTAGCAAGCGCAAGGATCAGGCCGGGCGGGTGCTTAATCACGACGCCCCAGAACTTCGCTTGATCGCAGGCGATCGCTTGGACCCCTCCCCAGACTTTCTAGACATAGCTGCCTTTGAGGAGTTGGATTTGAGTACGCCTAAAGTGGTGCACTTCTGGAGGAAGGCGGAAGACCCACACCGTAGAAATCTCGCATCGGTGCTCAGGGGGAACCCACTGTTTTGCCCACAGGTGGGGGTCACGCCAGAAAGATCGCTACATATTGATATTCTCCACACTTTATATCTCGGGGTGTTTCAGCGGCACGTGTGTGCAGTGATTTGGGCAGCGATGACTTGCAGCGTGTATCAATTCAGCGGCCCAGTCGAGACCGTTCGGGAACTTACGCTGTATCGTGTCTTCTTGGACATGAAGCAATGGTTCACGGACCAAGGCGTGCCCGTTGGCGAACGCCTCAATGAGCTCACAGTGAAACTGATAGGGACGTCCGAATCTCCTGAGTTGAAAACAAAGGCGGCCGAGACTGGCCGCGTTCTACCATGGGCGGCAGATTATTTCTGGACGCCCGACATGGATACCGAAATAATTAATGTGTACTATGCCCAACAACAGTTCCTGTTCATTTTGAACAGGATCCGCTGTCCGCGCCGCCGCGGCCTGTGTCCATTTGAAACAGGAGGCCGCCCGCCCAACAGCGGCCGCTGTTGGTTTGGGACAACATTTGCAGTTGGGCATCGTACCCATTCTTTCGGTGCCCATGTCGGGCGTCCAAATTATTGCAGACGCTTCGCAACAGCACTCGCGCATGGCGACGAGTTACGCGAGGCGGGATACGCAATTTCACAGTACATGTCTATATTGAGAAGAGAGGGGCGCACGATCGCCCTGCCTGTTGGCAGGGAGCTGCTGCGTCTGTGTCTTCGCCACTTAGAGCTGCTCGCGATTTGCGAGCTCAAGTGCCACCCCAAAGACCACCTTTTTGTACACCTCACGTGCCGCGTCGCCGAGCGCGGCAACCCACGGGGGTACAGCACCTTTTTGGACGAGAGTTTAAATCGTTATCTCGCGGAGATCGCTGCACGCAGCCATCGGGCAACTTGGGAAAGGTCAATTTTTTGTAGAACGCATCCCCTCCCGCATGTTGCACCGCATCTCGCTTTCGCACCTCTGTGATAAAAAATCGCTTGTATCGTGCTCCCTTTGGTTGCAGTCTATGCGCGAAATCCGTTTGAGTTCCGACAGGCCGCCACAATCAGTAGCATTTGTGGTTGCAAGCCGCAATGTCTTCTGAGACTTCCAGCCGTCTCGATGGCCCTGTCCGACAGGGCCAGTCCCATCCAGAGTCGTGGGCCACGCCTGCCATGTGGGTGGCACCGAACATACACAAGTACCAACTCCTTATCTTAATTCAATGTTGCGGCTGCGACGCAGCATTCTTGGCCATGAAGCAATTGAACATTCCTACGTGCAGCGTGTCTTGGGGCACGAACTCGGACCTCGAGAACCTCTTGATCAGCATTCATGGCAAGCACAGTGGCACGCTGAACGTTGGCTCGGAGAAGGGCGACTTCACGCAGGCTAGGGGGCGGTTGAGCCGAGGGAGGGAAAGAGGAGAAGGAGGAGGAGGAATAGAGGAGGAGGAGGAGAAGAGGGAAAGGAGGGGGAGAAGATGAGAAGAGGAAAAGGAGGAGGGGGTGAGGAAGAGGAGGAGGGGGGGTGAGGCCCCAAGGAAGGGGAAGCGAGGCTGTCATGCTCCTTCCCCTCTTCGGTACTGCTCCTGATGCTACACCGCGGGCTGAAGACCCCCACTGCCTCTCCAGCTCTTCTTCCTGGGGGGGAGGTTGAGAAGGAGGCGAGGGAGGGAAAGAGGAGGAGGAGGGGGAAGAGAGGAGGAGGAGGAGAAGAGGAAAAAAGGAGGAGGAGGAGAAGAGGAGAAGAGGAACCTAGGAGGGGGTGAGGAAGAGGAGGAGGGGGGTGAGGCCCCAAGGAAGGGGAGGCGAGGCTGTCCTCCTCCTTCCCCTCTTCGGTACTGCCCCTGATGCTACGCCGCGGGCTGAAGACCCCCACTGCCTCTCCAGCTCTTCTTCCTGGCACTCCTGCTACCCCGCCTCCTCCACCTCCTCCACCTCCATTTCTGATCGCCCTCGAGGTCTACCTCGAGAAGTTGCCGTCGGCCGACTTTCTCTGCGCTGGACCGCCCTGCCCACCCTTTTCAAGGGGCGGTGCGAAAAAGTTGTGGACGGACGATCGTGCCGCAGCATTCTGCCAAACACTTCTCTGTATCAAGGAGCAGTCATCGAGAACGCCGTCGAGACTGAGGGCGTTCGTCCTCGAGAACGTCGCAGGAATGCTGGACCATCGCAATGGTCAGCAATCGCCATGCGAAGAGGTCGCGCAGTGGT